AGTCTTCCAAAACAAAATATTATTAAACGTTGCATGAATATTGTCGATGTAAATACAAACTTCATAGCTTGCCGGTGAATGTCGACCGCATAAATTATGCCCTCGGTCATCAGAATCTTATTTTTTAGCGTAATGTTTTGTAAAATGTCGATACTCATTGCATGTTTAATACGATAGCTACAAATGTTGTGTTGCAATTATATAGCAATTTATCAAATGACAATTCTTCAGCTAAAAACAAACTTTTACCAAAAAATTTTTTATATATCATGTTATATATATAAAGATAACACTTTTGTGTATAACTTGTATAACAGTCCCAATTATTATTCGACTGTTATATATATATATATGATATGGTAATTTTTACGTCTAATGATTCCTACCTAGCAATTCTAAACATTCCACAGGTATATTGAGCATACGTAATAAGCATTGTACCTATTGCTACCATTACAGTCGCTCCGATGGAAAAAGCTATGTACATATGGAACAAAATCAAATGGAAATACTTCTCTTGATCGACGAAATACTCCGTTATAATGAATAAATGACGTGACCTTTGGTGAGACATATTCATCGGTACATCAACATTAATTAAATTCGACCAAAATTGAACTATAATACTAACAAATAATCCACAAACTCCAACTGCTAAAAAACGTAAATAAATTGTCATTTAAATTTGTAGGGTGTAATATTATAAAATTATTTTATGTATACCGTACACATGTGTGTATGGCATGAAATATTTTTTAATAAAATCAAATTTTATTGCACAATTGATAGCTATTTTTCTATTTTATTCAATTTATAAGCACACTTGCTATTTAATGCAAATACGTGATATTAATGCTTTAATAGGCCCATGCAATCAAATAAATCATATATAAATGTATGTATGTATGAAAGTTATAATATATGCTGAAGTCGCTTTTACTCCACTTGACAGTTTATTGTTAGATATTAAATCGAAAATATGATTACATGCAAAAATCAACAAACATTGCCTTACCCGTAAGCGCAATCGTGTAACGATTAGCGATACAACTATATTTTTTTGCAATAGCAATTTCGTTTTTATCCCTTAATTCGTTAAGTATATGTTGAAGCTCCATCAATAACTTTTTCACCTGCCATTTTTTATTATCTTTCTGTATTACTATTGTTGTAAATATTAAAATATTTTTTGCTATGAAAATATATTTGACAGACAAATTAATCCTATTTAACGGATGCTCTGTAAGCCATTAACTTACAACATCAATGTTAAAACGGAATGCGTTATATTTTATTATAAACAGTGTAAAGAAAGATACGGAAGACAACACTTTGGTAACAAGGTCCGAAGTACATTTTAATACTATTAATGGTGTCAGCTGCAAATAGAGATAGTTTTACAGAAATTCTATAAGTATCTGTTATTAATACTATTAATACTATTAAATAATAATACAATATATCAATTCTTGAAAAAGGTATGTAAAGGCAGATACACACTTTTTTGTATATTTACGTCATATCATTACGATGCATATTTGCAGCATATGATCGTTGCGTATTAATTTCATGATACGACACGATAATATGCGCCTTTGCCTATTATTATATCAAAATATTGATATCCAACAGTGCAACACTGTCTATCTAAACTGATACATTCTATGTGGATGCGCAACAAAATGTCCGTTTTAAAAATTTATCGTTGCCGTTCATCCACGATATGATAGATTTTATCACTTTAATTACTTCAGACAATGAGAGTACCTATCCGCGCGAATAAATATTTTGACCATATTTTGTCAAACAAGTTGTTCCAGCTTGTGCACATATCACGATATTATTACAACAAAATGCGTCAGAGGATGATAAATGAATTTTAATGAAAAAGAAAATTTCCAATTTTAACTGTATACACATATATATCATAATGTTAAATTTATTTTGTTTTTTTTTATAGAAAGGCAGTTTCTTTAATTACAATTAAGGAAAAATATACAACTTGCAATACGCAAATATATATATTTTTTTTATTTAAATAAAACACTATGTATTTTGTTTGTATTATTTATCCTATTAATTTATACTATTTTATACATGAAAGTTTTAATTCAGGATACAGGCACATGCATATAATGTCAAAGAATAAATTGCATGCGCATAGTGCATCTTGTAGTATTTTAATTTGATACAAAAATCAAATTGCAAAATATAGATTAAAATAAATTATTAAGCAGTGAAAGATTGTCATTGTCATGTACAGTAAAAAAATTGATTTTATAATAACATTACAAATATTCTTGTCTTACCTGAAATATAATACTCGCTGACAGAATAGCAGAGAAAAAAATAAACTGAAATTGAGTAAATTTGGATTGCTGATAGGGCCATAAACCAACAGCAAGCAATAGAAGTCTATTGAGACTGTAATATCGAGCTTCTAGGTATATCATTTCTCTGTGAGCTTCTAAGTATTACTGCGAAGACTGGAGACATCAGTGAGTATGCGTTCCCCTACTCTTTTCGCTGGTCGATTGAATATTTCACATCTTATATTTTCTGATATAAATTTCAACGCAAATTTCATAATTTATGTCTATAATGTTGATTGCGTAAAAGTTTGCTAGAACATCCAAATGCCCTTAATTCTATAAATTTCTCAGCAAATTGCGGATATTAATGTTATCGATTTACCGCTAAAGGTATCTTGACAGATGTATTTTTCTCACGAAATTGAGCTATTCGCAAGAAAACCGCGCAGGCGTATTTTCTTCTTTTCAGCGCCGAAACTTCATTCCAGTACGCGCACTCATAGATCACACTTGCTCCTCTGACAAACATATTCTCCAACTACAACTCTCTCGATGTCGGAGCTTATACTTGGTAAAGTTATGATTTAGAAATGGCGAGAATTTTTTAACCAATATTAAATACCAAAATGTCATTTCTATCTAGTTTTCTGTATCATCTACTATTAGTCATATTCTTTTTTTTTTTTTTTTTTACAAATATTTATTATCGATAATTCTAACATATTTATATGTAATTGTTGATACCAAATAAAATATATAAGAGTATAAATAGCTAATGTTTAATAGAAAATTGCTCATAAAAATCGTATTTCAATGCATCGCAGAAACTTGATGTAATAATACCTTGATTTGTATAATTTTAATCTTTTATATCTTTATTAACAATTTTACATAAATATCTACGCATTTTTAACAAAAATTAATATTTCTATTTTCTAAGCATGAATACTATTGATACTAAGCATAAATTATATTCTCACCATGCTGTTATTAAATTCATACTTGCTTCGTCATCGTGTAGAATATATGACGGTAAAGTAAGATACCGAAGTCTTAACCAGCTATAATTAAAAATCTGTTTCCTTTAATAACGTTTATTTTTAATATGATACTCTATTGAGATATTTTATATCATCTTACCGTGGCAAAACATTCCATAGATGCATGAAATAATTTACCAACACTCAAAGTAAACTCCTTAGTTTCTCTTTGTAACAGGAACAATATCATCTTCTGTATGTGTATTGGAGCTC